CAAAGTGTTGCCGAGTGTATATTTGCAATTTGTAAACATCAACGTTTCATGAAAAAAAAAATATAATAAGAATTCGGTATAACTAGGTTTCCATCTGAAAATTAATCGTTATAATGTTAAACCGTCAATTTCTTACAGGTGGCTAATAATTTGATCACCCACCGTATAAGCAAAGTTACTCAGGACACCGACCTTGACAACATATTTGAAAGTAATTAAAATCGGCGAGGTGTACCTCTTTGTAAATAATTACTAAAAGTTTTTTTACATTAACGAGGCAACCATGAATTGGGCTATAAACTTTTCTGTATAACGGTTTTCGAATTGGCCATTTTAATGATGTCATAAAACAGTAAATTCTGATTTGTTTTATTGTAATAAAATCGGAATGCATGTTTTTTCAGCTAATAATATATAAATTAAAATACTGAACCACTGGGTAGGACTACTTTTAACTGAATAAAAGCTAAGAGGGCTTTATTGATCACAAAGAGTAAGTGTGTAAGATTTGTTGTTATTTGCTTAATCTGCAAGATCATTATGAAGCATATGTATAACGTATGCTTTAATTATGTTTATTGTAAATTTTAAATTATGCACATAAAGTAAAAAAAGGAGTATCAAATTTAAGAAGAAAATGTTCTAAAAATTCATGAATAACTCGAAACACTTTGAGGCAGTTAGTTTTTTTCTTTTCATCGATCATAAGTTTTTCCCAAACACTCGCTGTAGGGGGATTTTTGTGTTGGTTTGCTCTTTTTTGGACCTGTGTTTCTCAAAATTTCGAGTCGTTACATGAAAATTAAAAAGAAAAAAAATGGACCCGGTTTCGACTTTTCATGCCTAAGGATTCGAATTTGAGCGAGTTTTATAGAATTGCTATTAATACCTTTAGCATAACTGATATCCAACTTACCGCACAAAAGCTTGAAATCCATGAATTCCGAATGTCCTAACTCATGTACATGTACATTTCACCTCTGATTTTAATTTACCGAGTCCCGATATTAATTTTTTTAAATCCGGTTCCTCCGTTGTTGCAAAAAGTTTCCCATGTAGGTACACATATATAATTAAGTATTAAGCCATGTTCATTTCCTTAATTGGTCTATTTTTTTTTTAAATGACTTCCTCAATTATGTCGCCTTCGTCTTCTTTTCTTCGTTACACTCTTGCGAGTACATTTATACTGTTCATATGTTATCATTACATCTTTATAACTAGTATGCAGATGCAGCAAGAAATTCGATGTTGCATTTATACTGCCTTTGATTATATGGAAACAATTTTTACATTCTGCCGTAACACGAGTGCCACTTGAATTCTAATTTTTAATGGAGAAAGATTTCCCATCTAATTGTAAAATCAATAGGATTTTTTACGACAAGAGATTAGAAAAGTATTTATACTCATAAACGTATTGAATGTATATAATTACTTTCAGCAACAATATCTAAAGATTACGAATAAACTGAAAAGAAATTAATATAAATAAAATATTTCAAAATAGAGCACCGCTATTTTCAATATCCTTCAAATACAATACTATTTTTAAATACTGTTTTAAACACTTATTAGAACAAATGAAGTATTTTATTTTCATAGATATATGCACGATGTAAAATAAAATAGACTATTTATTATTTACTATTTGAAATTACATTTTACCCAGCTTTCTTAGCAGAACTATTTCCTCTTCATTTTATCTCCCTAATTAACACCTTTAAAGAGACCAGTGAATAACGATACACTCCGTATACAGGGTGTCCCGAAACTCCTCGAACACTCGGAAACGGGGGGTTGCTGGGGTGAGTCTGAACAACTTTTTCCTTTACCAAAATGTTGTTTGAAGCTTCATTTTTGAATTATTAACGAAAAACACTGGCCAATCAGAGCACGCGTAGAGCCCGCGCCCAGGCACGGAGCGCTGACTCTCATCCGCGCGCGATCGTGAACAATGCGTACGCGTGACTTCTCGGTTATCGATCGCTGTCAAAAAAAATTTATCTTTGCACCGCTATTTTTGTAAGGCTCAGAGAAATGGTTTTTTATCGTCATTCCGACGTTTGTATAACAATACATACATATGTATCGACAGCGATCGATAACCGAGAAGTCTCGCGTACGTGTTTGTTCACGATCGCGCGCGGATGAGTCTCTGCACTCCCGTGCCTGGGCGCGGGCTCTACGCGCGCTCTGATTGGCCAGTGTTTTTTGTTAATAATTCAAAAACGAAGCTTCAACCAACATTTTGGTAAAGGAAAAAGTTGTTCAGACTCACCCCAGCAACCCCCCTTTCCGGGTGTTCGAGGAGTTACGGGACACCCTGTATATTTTTAGCTGTTTACCTTATATAACTGACAAAATGAAAAGATAACGTGAATAAATAGACTTAACAAAGAATGAATAGAATGTTAGATATATTGTGTATTCAAAAATTATAACTACAAAGAGACTTTTCGTCGTACGCTATTGAAAAAGAAATTAATTCATTGTAATCAGCAAGTTACTGAAAAAAGTACTAAGATATGGGATGTGCAACATTTCAATAACTGAGAAAATATTAATTACATTTGCCCTTAATTCTTATCACTTTTTCTCTTCATAAAATAAACGACACCGTATTGGATTTAGGAAAACTCTGAAAGCCGCTTTTATACTCTTGTGCTAGGGTAATTATAACGTCTGCGACAATGTATGTTGTTTTCTATACTTAAGTATGATTAAGAGATGAGTTAAGTATTTATGAAAATTGGTTCAAAAGTTATTAAGCATTGTGATTAGAATAATTTACGAATGTTTTATCAATTGTGACGAATGCTTACCGTAGCTAGGAGGCACGTATTTTCCCTAAGTGCACCGACACATCCCGTAAACCCAATGATAAATGTCACTGTACCTATAACAGAAAAAAAAAATACTTTGAATGAGACATTAATATTTCATTACCGAAAGATACAAGAAATTGCAGAGAATTTTAAATTACGGAAGACAATTATGAAGACTTAGATTTGGATTTCAAGTCCATTTGTGTTTTTATGCAGGGTGTATCTAATAACTGAGCCGAGTTATAACTGTTATTGAAGATAGAAAAAAACTGTAGAATAATGTGATGGAAAATGTAAAAAAACGAGTAAGAAAATGGTTAGAATGTAATGATGGAACATTGGGACATTTTGACAGTGTAATTAAAATTAATAAAGTTCTTCATTGTTCAGCTATATTGTGGCGATGATTAGCAAAGTGGCCTAAGTCATATATTTTTCATTTCGAGACATTTAGAATTTTCCCTTTGCGTACATTAAAAAATATGTTTTCATTATGTAATAAAGTATTTCAGAAAACAGTTGCTCTTATAATGTAACTCTTTTCTATGAAAAGATCGACGCAACACAAAGTAAGCGATAAATTCAATTATGTTAGATTTTTGACTTACAATTAGACCACTTTCATAATCACCAGTACAATATGTGTATGTACAGATCAGCAAAGCAAAGATGAAGCTTCTAACGTTGCCGCCTAACCAAATGAGGGGAAAGTGGGCGGTCAAGCCATCCCCACTACTCTTCGGTCCTATACTACCGGCACTTGAGGGGAAGTTGCGGCGCAAGTACTGTGTAGAGCTTAAGAGTTTGCCCCTGGAAGGAATGCAAGTCTGATTGGATCATTTCCCCGTAAGGCCACGTTCTCTAACACAATCATAAAAAGAAGACACACGTATTGTCACTGAAGGGATTTAGGAAATTGATGGAGAGGATCGACGGAAAATGAAAGGTTAGAGCGTTTCGTCCTGGGCCTCCTAGTAGACTCGTCAGTAAGGCTTTTTAGAAGACCCGTGCCTTAGACGCGGGAGGGATTGGAAGGACAGAAGCGGCGGCCTCCTTCTGTGAGCGGGTCATGCTGCAGAAGGAGGCCACCGAGAGAGAGAGGGAGAGCAATGGTGACCCCTCTAGGAGGAGGAACCGGGGGGCGGGGAGGCGAGAGCCCTGCGCGTGGTCCCCCGGCGCCGCCGAGCCTACGGGCGGAGTAATGGGGTAGGTCGTTTAACACCTTCCCCCGGGGGAGGCGGGGTGTCTTTGGAAGATTTTCCCCGCGTTAGCAACAAAAAAAGAAAAAAAAAAGGATTGGAAGAACTCATGTCAGAAGTTGTATATATGTATACAAATAGGAGCCTTTATGCGGACTAGCGAGAACTTGTGGTTAGTCCATCCCTCTGGTGGCAGAGCGTAGGAGGGTCGTTACATCACTATTGGTCGAACGCGATCACATCGACGGATCGGATCATATAGCACCGCGTGGGGGAAGATTCAAGCGGTGCGAGTGAAGTACCCCTCTTGTCCCTGTGCTGTCACGGGGGCAAACTCCTGAGTTCTACACAGTAAGTGGTTTAGACAAGTGGTTTTCAATTAACTATCGATACTGAAAGAACAGGAAACTTTAAAGATTGTATCGATTATTGTGTGAAAAGTGTTGAGTAGCAATCACAGAACGTGAGGAAGACTCGGCAGTTAACAAGTTCGCTGGCATCGACGCAGCATATGCCGTTCAGAATGTATTGCCCAGTTTTCAATTACCCTCAATTTTCTGTTGTCAGCGAACATGTTAAAAACAATCGAGGACTATGACCGTCAACGACAAGGAAAGAGAATAGATAAAACGAGAGTAAGCGAGATGGACGTAGTTCGTCAAGCAGCGACAGTTAAGACTCATTGTCAGTACTTCACGGGATACCGTCTGCGTTGCAACGAATCATCCAATATCACAAATTTCAATTTATCTAACTTTCGTCTTATTTTCATTAAGATAGTACCAATGGTGAGATTCTTCCGATGAAAATAAATCCGTACACGATATAAATCAGAGTAAATCTACCAGTCGCCAAATTAAATATCTCGGATTTTCGGCTAGATCAATTTATGTCGTGTTTGAACTCATTTTCAACAGGGGAACCTGACCAATCCACTGTTACTATCTTCACCAAAAACGGATGAAAATTATAAAAATGATTACCGGTGAATTATTTATTATCAAACGCCTAATATTATCACAGCGATCTATTATCGACTGCTCGCACGAGGTTCCATTGTCGCCTATCGTTGTTCATAGAAAAGCAAGTGCAACAGCCTATCGCTATTGGCTGATTAACAATGAAGACGTCACAATTTCTCCTGCATCTCCCACTTGTAAACGTCGAGACCCTCCTAAAGCTCCAACCTTGCTTTGTCAATCTGTATAAGACAGCAAAAATAAAAATCTGTGTTTCAATGTAGCTTTGATGCATTTCAATATATTTTAAGGATTACATTTGTTAGGGCCGTGTGTTTAGCCTTACGCTACAATCGGCAGAGGAGGATGCTGTGTTTGAGAAAGCCAATTTGCAATGGAGTGTATATTTTCTCGAGGATTGGGGTCTAGCTGGCAAGCAATACCAACATTCTCTGCAAATATTGCCCAGCTGGATCACCATTAACGGCAATTGACTTATCGTAAGCCCACACGCCGTGAAAAGGGGGACCTCGAACTTATGCGCCGGTTTCCCGAACAAGAGATGCTTTGTGCATGACCTGTACGCGTCACGCAATCGGGAAACCGCTTCATTTTTTAATTGAACAGTTCTAGGTCCTATTTTTCTGTATTTCCCTCCAGAGTCGCATCTTTGAGACGATGGGAGAACGTTTTCCGACTACAGCGTTTGAACTTCGAACAGAACCTTTTGAGATTTCAAAGAGAACTCTCGTGGGCTTCGAAGTGAACTCTGTCGGGCTTTATAATTTGAACTTCGTAACTTCGGACTCTTGGACTTTGGAATTTAACAGTTTTTGTGCGGAACACTGGGACTTTCTAGTTTATACAAACACCATGGAAGTAGTAACAAATAAATTTTGCTGTTTTTGCGAATCCTTGATTTGCTATGCAGGGTAAACCACAACGTGATCATCTTAGATTATTCTTTTGTTAATAGGCCGGTTGAAATTTTTTTGGTGTCGCATTCTATGGTTCAAAGATGCCTTTAAAGCGATTGTAGTATATTTTCTATCGGCCTATTTTTTCAGAATTTGCAAAGTTTAGTATTATATTCATTGGATTCATTTCAATTCTTGCTAACTTATAGGCAGATAGACTGTACAGTTATAAATAAAAAAAGCTGAAAGTGACCTTGAAAACTTTGGGAAAAAATGGACTGATATTGTAAATACCTCTTTGGACCATATTATGCGATATAAAAAAGTTTTCGATCGGTCCATTAACCCCTTAATCTATGATTTCCTTTCCGACTATGCATATAAGCGTCAGCCATTTAATGTTTTAGTACTGCATCAAGTAACAAAAGCTAATCTGTTACAGGTTAATTACATTTAGGAGTCCTTAGTTTTACAAATTAAAACGAAAGTTAGGATTACAATTAATTTTTCTTATTAATATATTATACCTATTTTTGTCACATCTTGATCAAAATCTCTGCCACGAGTCTGACACGTTGCTGTAGGTTAAAGGGTTAACAACAGAATAATCTAAGATGATCACGATGGGCGATTCGCCCTGTATATCCAATTTCACGAGGTCTAGGATTTAACAATATGAAACAAAGAAAATCAGGAATAAGACAAGCTTCTTTTCTCTTTCTACGGTATTACGTGCTGGGAATTGTGAAATGTAAACTTACAACTGGGTCTGCGGACATTTTTATGAAATTTGAAGGGTTGAATCAACTGAAATTAAATGTACTGTACAAATATCGTAGTTTGAACGCAAATCTACACTAATTGGAAAGCAGGCCTCGAATCCTGCGAATATATCTATACAGTTACTCTCCTTAATATTCGGACACCCTTTAGAACAGTATAACTTTCTTAAAATTGGACCAAATGACTTAAGTTTTTTCAAGAATGCGATTTTCACAATTTCTAACCTTTTGTAGCTCGTGCAATGTTAACCGATTTTGATGAAATCCTCAGCATGTATATAACTGACAAAAATCTACAAAACATGTTTTAAATTTTCATTACAAGCTCAGCTTAAAAAATGGTAAAAAGTGACGTTTATAATTTTCTTTGCGAATCCAACAAATTACAATTTGTTCAAAATTTTTGGTACATCGTTTTTTACACTAGTAAACTAATCCTTTTAACTTCTCAAACAAAACTCAAATCGTTTGGTCCAATTTTTAAAAAGTTATACTGTTCTAAAAAGTGTCCGCATACAGTAATGTCTCTACAAGTGTCAGCCAGTTTGGATTCTACAAGTGTCAGTATAGATGGTCCTACGCCTAGGTTGCGTCATTGCTGCGTCTATGTTATCTCGCTCGCAGTCAGTCAAGCGTGTAACGCTACACCACTCGGTTTCTTTTACGAAATTTCACGGCTCGACAATTCATAATAGAAAAATATAATTTCTTTAATTTTACGTTTTTTCATCTGAAATTTTTTTTAACATGTTCGTGAGATTTTTTTGGTGAAAATGAGATCGAACACGATATAATTTGAACAACATTTACTTATTAATACTTATTGAGTAATTAATTTAATGTCGGCCTACCTTCACGTAAAAAAAAAAAAAAATGTAGGGCCGATTCTACAAGTTCAGTCAAATGTAGGGCCGATTCTACAAGTGTCAGTCAAACAGCAGGCCAATTCTCCAACTGGCAGTCAAACGGTAGGCCGGACTCTATGTAATGTAATACAGGGCGTCTGTGTTATCTCAATACAGTGAAATACCTGGCGTGACAGTGAACGTGTTAATAAGTAAATGTTGTTCGAATTATGTCGTGTTTGATGTCATTTTCATCAGAAAAATCTCATCAATATGTTAAGAAAAATTTCGGGATAAAAAAACGTAAAATTAAAAAAGTTGGTATTTAAATCGCTTGGTTGCCTCGACTCACGTTTTATCCTTATCTTTTATTCGCTGTCCTTGTCTACGTTCGGCAAACTACAAAGGCGGGCGCGAGGCTCGAAAACGTAGTCCCTGACTCTACAAGTGTCAGGTTTAGGTTCCTTGCGGACTGACACTTGTGGAGACATTACTGTTTAATAAGAGTGACTATATATACAGGGTGCCCGAGTTCAAAGTGCCAAACTTCGTCAATATATTCTATGGGTCTAAATAAGAAAAACATAACCGTGTCTGTTACTGTTCCCTTCGAATTCCGTATTTTTGTTTATAACTTTTTAATAAAGCGTTAAACAACCTATATGCATATAACATGTTTCTCTTATTTAGACCCATAGAATATATTGACAAAGTTTGGCACTCAGAACCGGGGACATCCTGTATACATTAAATTTTATCAATCTTTGTTGAAACCTGAGAACTAACATAAACGCACAGTGGCGGTATTTCTATGTAAATTGGCGTACGATGCAGTGCCGCTGTGCGTAGGTGTTAGTTCTAGGGTTTCAACAAAAATCGACGAGACTCACACAACGTACATTTCTTTACTCAAGTCTTAGAAGTGAACTTTTATAAATTAAATATCAGTAAAATTCGGTATTTATTTAACGAAACAGTTACAGACAGTTCAGACGATGCAGTTTGTGGACCGATTCGGTATTTTTGCCGATGCCTTATCTTAACCGTTTGAGTCCCAGGGGTCATTGAAAATACACTATCGAAAAATGCCGAACAGCGCAATAGCGCTTGTCTTAATTGATTGCGAAAAGAGCTAAGCGGCGCGATAGCGCTTTTCTTATTTTGTGTCGACAAAAAAAGACAGCGATGCAATGTACATGCGTCAGAAAAGTTGAGCGCGCTATTTCGACAGACTGTGTGTTCCGTCGCGCAGGTACGGAACTCATGGGGTCTTCGTTGACCGAGTTTATGGCACGCTCGCACGAGAAGGTTATTTTTGAGAACAAAAGACTCAAACGGTTAATCACCGATTCTGTCGCTTTCAAGATTCAGTTTTGTCGACATGAACTGATTCGGTAATAAAACCGAATAGATCGCCATGTTTTTCTTTACCGTCATAGTACGATTACGAGCAGACACACTGCTTCGTTTTTCTCTTCTTCTTTCCTCGCCCACTCTCGATGCGATTTCCGTAAATTCAATTTTTTTACCAGACGTCGCTGCACCGAACTGGCCGTGAGTCTGTGAAACTGTTCGCGGAATATTGAAACCGTAACTCTTATTATGAGCTCTGAAGGAAGAAGAAGAAAAAAAAAAGGCAACCAACGCCAAGAAATTAGACGGTTATATTGACCTGGATAAATTTCCAGTCTCCACTTTCGTCATGTGTTTGCGACTTCCTAACTTCCCTTATTTTCACCGTGCAACTGATTGCCTGTTTCTTTTTTTTCCAGTGGATAAAATCGACCAAGGTCGAGGTGAAGAGAGAATTTCGTAATATCGGAGAGGAGAGAAAGATGAATCTTTGGCGACGTTTAAAATCCTGCCTGTCGATAGCCGAAAATCAGATCGCGAAGCAGATAGCAGAGGTTCGAGTCTGGTGTTCCTTGTCTCGAGATTAGGCGGAGTTTGCCAAGACTTTGGATAAGATCTGTTTGGTCAAGGACGATCGAGCTATTACCAAAGTCGCGTTTGTCTCGCTTTCCCTCGTTCAACTCGCGCGGAAATCCTTGCTCTCTTCCTACAGCCAGACGTTCTTTCAAAAGACCCGCTGGATATCCTGTTTATACGATTCTCCCAGGGAAGAGAAAAAGGAGCGGTCGATTACTGGTAGATAAGGCTGAAAATTCGAGCAGACTACTTCTTTCCCAAGCTTCGGTCTTCTATTGTGGGATACTGTAACGAGGGGTTCGAATGTCCTTATGATGGGGAAGATTGTGGAAAATTGAGACGCGAAGAACAGCGGTGGAAGAAGATTACAATAAGTACGGTATTCGTTGTATGGAGTTCGATAATAATATCCTCGCGTATTTTAACGACCCGAAGGGTTATTTAATTTTATTCAAAGCAAAAAGTAGCAGTAGTTCAGTAGTAAGTAGTAGGCTATTAGACTTTGAATAGACTAAGTTTAAGTTTCAATAGCTCAGAAGTGATTTGATTGAAATTGAAGAAAAATTCAAAGTCTAATAGTAAGTTTCAGAAAGAAATTTTGAGAGAAGGTAGTTGAGTGTGTATAGGGTGGACATAGGCTAGCTAGTAGCCCTCGACCACCCTACCCACATCTAAGTACCCCCAAGTCAAAATTACGCGAAATGTCTAGGGCTCAGGACCTCAAAGTCATTAGCAAAGACGTCATTAAGGTTGGGCGGGAAAAATTTCGCGGGTAATTACCATTACTTTATTATGATATTATAACACGGTATAATTTATTATTTTATTATAAATTTTCACTTGCAACAATTTGTTACAATGCTACATATAATAATTTATACGGTTCTATAATTTTCTTCGATAAAATACTACGTTTTAACGTTCTTATTACCTTTTCGTGGTGAGACTAAGTTCGTAACGATTAAAAACCAGGTTGACCTGTGGTCGTAGATTAAGAATAACCGTAGTAGAGCTAAAATTATTGTGTTAAACATTTATTCATTTATATTGTCTCTGTGTAATCGAATTTTTCGAATTTCAATTAACTACAATTTTATAATACATTTTCATGGGAAAAGTGAGAGTTAATAATTATTATAGACAAACTGACTGGTAATAATGTAATAGAACAATAATATTATAATTTAGGATAGCAATAAACGGATAAAAGGAGATTTACAAAATGTGGATAAATGGATACGTATCTTCTAAGTGACATGGTTTTGTAAAGAGTTAATTTATTCATTATTACGAATTATTGTGAATGTAGTTTTTTGAAAAAATAAGTATTCGATAATTATATCTTGTACTTTTAATTATAATTAGATACAGTTTCACTACGATGGCTTCGTTACATTTATTTGCTTAAGAGAAACTTTGTTTATCACAGAATCACAGCACGCACCAAACTTTTCAACGGTGGAGAATGTTATAACGGTTATAACACGTAAATAGAATTTTAGTGTAACGTAGTGAAAAGATATAATACACATTATTTAGCGATATTACAATAAATAAGCCTTGAATAAACTTTCAATTTGTGTAAAAGATTATTTAACATACTAATTTTAGCTTTACTACGATTATTTTTTATCTATGACCACAGGTCAACCTGATTCTTAATCGCTATAAACTTCAAATTCAGTGCAAACAGAGAAAATGTGTAATATAATTTATTTCATCGTATTCTAGCAAACGAACGTTGAATAAATGTTTAACACAATAATTTTAGCTCTACTACGGTTATTCTTAATCTACGACCACAGGTCAACCTGGTTTTTAATCGTTACGAACTTAGTCTCACCACGAAAAGGTAATAAGAACGTTAAAACGTAGTATTTTATCGAAGAAAATTATAGAACCGTATAAATTATTATATGTAGCATTGTAACAAATTGTTGCAAGTGAAAATTTATAATAAAATAATAAATTATACCGTGTTATAATATCATAATAAAGTAATGGTAATTACCCGCGAAATTTTTCCCGCCCAACTTTAATGACGTCTTTGTTAATGACTTTGAGGTGGGGGTACCACAGGTATATAAGAGCCCGCGGAGGTCGCGGGAAATCATTCACCCTTTGTACTGGGCCGTAGACACTTCGCGTAATTTTGAGGGGGGGTACTTAGATGTGGGTAGGGTGGTCGAGGGCTACTAGCTAGCCTATGTCCACCCTATACACACTCAACTACCTTCTCTCAAAATTTCTTTCTGAAACTTACTATTAGACTTTGAATTTTTCTTCAATTTCAATCAAATCACTTCTCAGCTATTGAAACTTAAACTTAGTCTATTCAAAGTCTAATAGCGTAGAATAGTCGACTTCGAATGAAGTATTGCGAGATTGTTTTGAGGGTTTAGGGAAATCGAGATTTCAGTTTGTTATTGTTGTTCTTCGTACTTGTCGAATAGGATATCGAAATGAATTTGAGAGGTTGCCTAATGAAAATTTTTCGGCGTTTCAGCTATCCATTAATGAAATAAATTTTCGTTACAGGTTATTTCTAAATTTAATATATACTTTTCTTCCAGCTAATATATAATTTTCTTTCAATTTTTCTAATATTTTCTATGCTATTGAAAAATGAATTTTGAATTTGTTTTATGAATTGTGATTTACTAAACTAATTCTTCACAGGAATTGCATGAATTCTGCATGTTAAGTAGTTAGTTACATTGTTGAATTGTTTATTGTGAGCTGATCTGGAACGAGTGCACTATGCCCACCTTTAATTAAACCGTCTCGCTAGTTTACCGTAATAAATCAATTTTTCGAATTTCTATTGAGAATTTTCCAATTTTGATAAATATTAGAGTCAGTGAATCGCGTATTGAAATAATAGCTTCATCCCTAGTTCGCTTGTTATTGAATATTTTTACGCGTTTGACTGATACTCCTCCCCAATTATCGTCGCGTGTTCTATTGAAATTTTCTTATATTATAGAATCGAGAAAGATATAAATTCATGGGTTTTTCCTCACGGGTATTCTATTCAAATTTATCTTCATTACAAAAATCGAGAATAATACAAAATCGCGGTTTCCTCTCTTAAATTAAACTTGAATAAATCACGTTTCGAAGTACTTTTCGCGTCGCCCATTCCACAGTGACTCACAAAGTGTGAGTCTGTGAGTCTTGGAAAATGAAAACTGAGGGACTGGAATGACTGGAGACAGGAAGGAAGGATGAAACGCAGCAAAATTCACGTTGCAGAGCTTTACTGCCAAAATCTACGTTGCAGGGCCTAACTGCCTAATCTGCGAACGGTGAGTTACCAAAATGGGTTTTTTTTCTGGCGATATGGTATTGTAGTTAGTTGTATTGTCTATTGCCAGCTCAAATTTGAGCTGAGCTGCCCCTAATTAAATCGTCTCACTAGTGTTTCGCAATTAATAATTGAATTTCTCAATTTTTCTAAATATTAGAGTCAGTGAATCGCGTTTTGAAATAATAGCTTCATCCTTAGTTCGCTTATTATTGAATATTTTTCCGCGTTTATCTGATATTTCTTCCCAATTCGCGTTTTTTTCTTTGTATTCAATTTATTCGCGTTTATTTCATACTTCTTTCAATTTTTCACTCGCGTTCTACGAAAGTTTGGTTCGATAATAGAGTCTGAAGTAATGTAAATTCGCGGTTTCTCCCTCTCTAAAAAAATCGCGTTTCGAAGTACTTTTCGCGTCGTCCATTCCACAGTGACTCACAAAGTGTGAGTCTGTGAGTCTTGGAAAATGAACGCTGAGAGACTGGAATGATTGGAGGAAGGATGACGATCTGAGAGGAAGGAAGGAAGAAAGGAGGCAATGCAGCCAAATCCACGTTGCAGAGCCCAGCTGCTTAATCTGCGAATTGTGAGTGAATTTTTTTGGGTTTGGTGATGGGTTATATCTGTGTGTGCATGCATATTGAGCTGAACTACCAAGAGTTCAAAGAAGAACTGGATGGACTCTATTGCACTAAAGGTGCAAACGCCCTCCCATTATTAAATCATTCAATTTAGAGTCAATTTTCGTAAGAAATGCTCACCCATCTACTTTCGATCGATACGAGAATTTATTACGTCGCGTCGCGTTTAATAAATTAGCTTCGTCCCTTTTTCGGTTTTTGCTTTTCGTTTCTCTTTTCTTTTTTCAATTTTTACTAAATGTCCCAACTAAAATCAACTACACGAAGATATGGAGAAGGATAAAATTCGCGGTTTCGGGTAATAAATGAAATTCGGGTTAAACTACACTTGAAAAAAATCGCGATCCGCACACAATTTCGCGCGACACTTCCACGGCTTCCAAATTCTGGTGGGTCTTGGTCTTGGCTTTGGGTCTCTCAACCTGTGGCCTTGGGTCTCTCAACCTGTGGCCTTGGGTCTCTCAACCTGTGGCCTTGGGTCTCTCAAACTGTGGCCTTGGGTCTCTCAAACTGGGGCCTTGGGTCTCTCAAACTGGGGCCTTGGGTTCTCAAACTGTGGC